AGACACATGCTGTTTTTCCCCATGAAACTGAACAAACCTTCAGCCTTTTGGATGCCTCTGATGATTGCATCAAAGGTTTCCAGGGCATCCAGGGGTAAGTTACATGCTGCAACTCCAGGTGTCTGTTTTGAAAGGCAAGACATGGAATGCTTCCCCCACTGCACATCAGACCCCATGGTGATCATGAAAAGCAGCTATGAACACTTACATGGCACCAGCTGTGTGCCAGGCACTGCCCTAGACCTTTACTTGTATTAAATCATTTAATCCTCTGACAACTTCTCTGAGGCATGTGCTATTATGAACCTAAAGCACAGAGAGGTTAGCCAGGCTACACAGTGAACCAGGGTTTGCTGCCAAGCAGTCTGGCTCCAGAATCCATGCCCTTTGCTGCTGCACTGTCCCACCTTTGTAACAAGCGGAGGGCAGAGCAATGATAACAAAACCAAACCAGGAGTTCTAGTGACGTGAGAAGGCCAGGTGGCTGATAAACTGGAACTCCCGACACCTGTTCCCCTGAGATCACCATCTTCCTTGGTTCTCCTCATCCACATAACAACTGTCTGCAGTTGGCAGGGCCAGAGGTGATCACCTTGTATAGATGACAAAACTGAGAAAGGAAGGGACTTGTGATTGGCCGGAGGGACAGCCAGGGCTCTCCTCCAGGGCAGAGCTAAGGAAACAGTCCCCAAATTCACATGAGCCCCAGAGCTCCGCAGAGCTTTTCAGAAGTACAATTCTTGAGCCCTACCTCCAAGCATCTGTGATGGAATCTAAGGGTCTGTGTTTTTAGTGAGCTGTTTAGATGAGGCTGAGGATGAGCTGAGTTTGGGAACCACCATGCAGAGGACCATCTGCTTCACGCCCCCTCTAATGGCCAGAAAGGAATGCAGGTCCAGGAAGGGGTGATGACTGACACAGGTCACGAGGCAGCTGAGGGTCAGAACTAGGACTGGAACCCAGAGATCTCCCTGTCCTGCTCCGACACCTCCCCTGCCCTGTGCTGCCTTGCCTACAAAGCTGGACCATTCCTGCCCAGATGATGGGTGAGGGGAACGGGGCTATGCAAGGACCTACCTGGCTATCAGACATCTGGTAGAGATCCTTATAGGCCATGTAGACTTGGAAGGAATTGACGCCTGTTTCAAGATAAAAGAGAGTAGAAAAATGCAATTAAGAAAAAAGAACATGCCTTTCCAGTAAATTGACAATCACAGTACAAAGTTGGTAACAACCAAGACAGAAGGGCATCATCAGAATTCACAGTGGGGGCACCCAAGCCAACCTGGGGGCGTGGGTGAGGGTCCAAGGAGGGCTCGAGGAAGGTCACGTGTAAGCTGAGTCTGAAAGGGAAGGAAGAGGAAGGGGTGGAGGGGAGGGGGAGGAGGGGGAAGGGAACTGCCCGCGCTGAGAGGGAGGGATGTGCGTGGCATGGACATTAAGGAAGATGAAAAGACAGCAGGTGTACAGCTACTGGGAAGTGCTTTGTGGCTGAAGCCAAAGGAACATGTGCTTTGTAAAAAATCCCTTATATTTTTTATTATGATGAAATACACAAAGTTCACCATCATACCCATTTTAAAGCATACAGTTCAGAGGCATTCATTGCCCATTGCACAGCCATCACTACTGTCTAGTAGAACATATGCTTTTAAAGCAAAGGAATAACAGACTTTTTTGTCTCAGAAGGACTGTTCTGGAAGGTGGCTGGGTGTGCAGAAATGGAGATAAGTTGGAGGATGCTAAAGACAAAAGCGACAGGTGGTCAGAGGCCCTGAGCGTGCAGGGAGCTCCAGGGATGGGGAGGGTGAGGATGTGAAAAGGTTGAAATGACAGGACTCATTGTGCAGCCAGAGGGGAGCAGGGGAGGTGGGGGGAGGGCTGCTCCCTAATATGACTTCAAGTGGCTTGAGGACAGGGACCACATCTCATATATTATTTCACCTTGCATGTTCACAGCAGGTGCTTTGCAATTAATGTTTGTTGATGGAATCAGGAATCGTTTGGGTAAGAAAAAGAAAAAATTAAGGCAAAAGTACTAAACGGGACTGAGACTACTTTTATACTAAATAATAGTGAACACCAGCCCAAAATTGCTTCTTGTCTAGAAAACCTTGGCACCAAATATTTCTTTTCCCAAAATATTAGGGAAAATTAAAAGAAAAAATAATATTCCAAGATTACCATTAAAGTATCAGCCTCTATGTACTCAAGCATACTTATATACAAAAAAACCTCAGTGTATACAGACAGAAGAAGTATCAACGAGTGAACAGGTAAAACCATAGTGAGAGGAAAATTCATAGCCTTACACGCTTCATTAATTTTTCAAGGGGAAGGGAAGCATGTATCAGCTGAGTATGCTTCTACAATAAGAATTTTTAAAAGAAGAAAATGGAAATTTATCAGAAGTTAAAAGTAAACAATACAAGTGAAAGCAGAAATAATGAAATGGCAGATTGATAAATATGCCTTAGAACTGGCCCTTCTGGGTGGGTGGGTGGATGGGGTAAAGCTATCTCAGATTAGAAGCTTATCAAAATTATGAAAAAGTTGACTTGTTATAAATGGAAAACTTCTGTAAGTTAATTCTTAAAAACTCAAAAAGCAAGCAACCAACATGGTAAACAAATCTGAAATGAATTTAACAAAGGTTTTTTTTAAAAAAAAACCCAAAAACCTCTTATTTAAAAAATACTAGATGCAATGGAGCCCATGAGGGGTCTGCTGGGGGGGTCTCTGTTTGGGGCAAAGTTTTTCCATTTCTTACCTGGGGAGGGTAATCTCATAATTCCTAAAGCCACATTTTTCACTTGTGTAATTTTCTGTATCTGTCTGATTTTGTATTTAAAAGATTAAAATAAAAGCAAAGAAGCAAAAAAGGCACACAGAATCTTTAGACAAATTTTTTTAAATGGCTAACAAATAAAAAGAACAAGATTAAGTCTTATTTGTAATCAAATGATTCAGATGAAAACCTCAGTATGGTACCAAATTTTAGAGTATGTTGCTCAGTGCTAGTGAATGTGCATTAAAATGAATCCCTCTTATACAGCAAGTGACAGTGAAAACTGGCACAGCCAATTTGCACCTGCTTGGAAAACCAATTAAGCATTTAAGCATTCACTATCAAGAGTTGTACATGCTTCCACGTCCTTGGCCTGATAATTCTACTACTGACAGTAGAGCCTTGGGAAATACAATAGATCCTGATGCTCACAAAACCTCCCAAATTCATAAAAGCCATCATCACAGTGTTTCTACAAGGAGGCTGCATGGAATGCCAATTCTAAAGGATTGTGCTGAACGCCCATCGGGTTGCCAGCCCACTCCTAGTACCCCCCAGTTCTCAGAACTTCCTTACATCAGCTAGCAAATGCCATCTTCCCCATCCATCCAGTAACCTCGGAAACAGCCACGTTCAGACCACGTGGCCACAGATCACAGATGGTTAGTCTAGGGCTGGGCGCCTAACAGATGCTAAGCTGAGCCAGGAGGAGGGACCGAGTCCAAGTGATACCAAAGGACACCTGACTAATCTATGAAGCAGATGTCCACCCAGCCCCAGACAAAGCGTGGGCTGCTGCATTCCACCATGGGAGAGTGAGAATGCAGGTCAAGGGGGAAGGGAGGGCAGAGCTGGCTGAAAGAGGGAAGTAGGGCTGAGCACAGGGGACCCCCTGGCATGGGGTCCTTGGACACACGCCTCTACCACTAAAGCAAATCTGCATTATTTGCCAGACTCTGGGGTGAGTCTCTTGTTTGTAATCAAAATAGGGATGTTGATATCTGTATTGGTGAAGGAAAACTGGATTCATCAGCAACCAACATTTTCTTGACTCCAGGGCTTCTTGCAGATTTTAACATGATAATGCGCGTTAAGAATATTCAAGAAGGGACTAAACAGGAAGCTTTTGCAAAGTTATTAGACCCCATAAGCCCTTCTTCATGGAATATTTATTTTCCCACTCATCAAATATTTACTGAGAACTTAACGTGCGAGCACCGTTATGTAATAGGGAAGAACCAATCTGACTCCATGTTAGCTCTGTTCCCCTGGCTCTAACCCTGTGCTCAGTCTCCTGGGCTCTGTCGTGCTGGTTTGGCACCTTTTGTAAAAGAATCTTGCCCAGAGCCTGAAATACACAGGAGAGCTCCTTCTCAAGGCTCTGATCTTTAAAGGTGTAACACTTTCCCACTCATGGAGATAAAAAGTCACAGAACAGAGAACACTTGTCTTGTTGGAGGTTTACAGAAACATCGTGACCTGACCCACGTGGACAGCTGCAAGAACAAAGGATTCTGACACCAAGAAGTTTGCACCAACCAACCACAACCCCTCTCCTTTTTAGTATAAAAGGAGCCTGAATTCTGACTTGGGGGAGACGGTTCTCCAGGACGTTAGTTCCCCATCTTCTCAGTCGGCTGGCTATCTGAAAAAAGTCATTATTCCTTGTCCCAACACCTCATCTCCTGATTTACTGGCCTATCATGCAGTGAGCAGAAAGAATTTGGACTCGGTAACAATTCTAGAAGCTAGAGATAAAGCTGTGAAGAAGGTGGGGTGGATCCCCGTCTACATTCTAGTGGGAATGAGCAACGAACAAACAAAAATTAAGAAAACTTCCCAGAGAAACAGGAGGCAGTAAGAAGTTAAACAGGGGTAAATATTTTTAGTTTCACAAAACTTTTGCAGCAACTCCCACCAAGAGCCAGAGTCTCTTTCCCCTCTCCCTGAACGTGGGCTGGTCTCGAGACTGGCTCCAGTCAGCAGAACAAAGCAAAAGTGTCAGCGGACACTTCCAAGCCTGGGCCTCGGGGTGCCTGCAGCTCCAGCCTCCCCCTCGTGGGGCCAGCAGGGAGAAGCAGCCCACGAGAGCTGCTGGGAAGGGGCGGTGGATAGAGCTGCCCCAGCTGGGGCCCAAGGCACGAGAGCCTCGGTGTGGCCCGCAGAGCCGCCCAGCTGAGCCCACACCAGAGTGCCCATCCAATGTAGGGAGCAAATGAGGAACCGCTGATTTCTCTCAGTTGTGGTAAAACACACCTTATGTAAAATTGGCCATCTTAGCCATTTGTAAGTGTACAGTGCGTTTGAGAGAGGTGATTAGACAGGTGTACTGACCCTGGCTAGCTATCCACAAGGGGAGAAATTGCCAGGCTGGTGAAAAACAGGACATTTTGTTTCATCCTGCAGCTGGCTACTTGGTTCCAAGGACACAGCCAAAAAATAAGACATTTTATGTCCCATAACTGCTGCATTGATCCCAAGGACATATCCCGGTATCTCTTTCTTTGTTCTTTCTCCCACCAAAGTTTCTCTTTTAGGGCTGAGCTCCACGGGAGGAAGGAGCCAGTAACAGAAGGTGACTGACACCACCACAGTGAAGACTACGTTGGCAGAGGCTTCCAGTAAAAGATCCCGGGGCCGGATCAGGGGCTGAAGCTGTCTCAACGGCTACCTGGCCGACGGCTCCCCTACTCAAGTGTTCTCTTTCTTTCTTTCTTTCTTTCATTTTTCTTCCTCCCTCTGATCAGTAAAGCAGCTTTCCTTCCACTCTGTCCCTCTGCCTCTATTGAGAATTCTTTCTCAGTCGGCAGCCAAGGACCAACACGTCTAGGGGCGGTCGAGGGGCAGGGGTTTGCCCTCACGTCTGGCAGGCTTTCCAGTTTGGGGTCCCTCCATCTGCGAACACAGTGGCATTAAATGCGTTCACACTGTGGGGTTTCCATGTCCAGAACTCTTCATCTTGGCAAAACTGAAGCTCTGTCCCCAGAAACATTAACTCCCCATTCCCCCTCCCCCAGCCCCGGCACCCACCCTTCCACTCTCTTTCTGTGAACTGGACGGCTCTAGGCACCTCATATGAATGCAGTCCAGCATTTGTCTTTTGTGACTGGCTTATTTCACATGACATAATGTCCTCCAGGTTCATCTACACCGCAGCCTGTGTCAGAAATCCCTTCCTTTCCAAGGCTGAGTAACATTCCATTGTACAGATGGACCACATTTTGTTTATCCAATCATCCTGTGATGCATATTTGGGTTGTTTCCTCTTTTGACTCAAAAATTAACACCAAGCTCAGACTGGGGGTCTCATGCCTGGTACCAAAGCTCTGACACTATGGATGAGGGGCCACC